AGATATTTGGTACAAGGTACCAAGGTCGTTCAAAGCCAACCATTGGCTAAATGACATTGCATTTCTATAGGTAACTAACAGTTTGTATTACTTAACCTACCTATAAATATACTCAGTTTACAATCTACCTTATTTAGGTCACTTCGCTCTCTTTAATAAAAGAGGGGACCTGTGAACTGCCGTTCACTGAGAGTTTGTATACTCTCGGAAGATAACTTCCTCTTGCGCAAGGTGCTGTGTGACCCCGTCACACTTGGTAGCACTTGTAGTCAATCCACGCCATCGCGAGTAGACTACCTGAACCTCCAAAGTTCGTTGCCATGGATAGGAACGACTTCTCCCATTTGAACGACTCTCAGTTCGAGTCGGTTCGGAAGATGGCAGGCATCTTCGGGATGGAGGCCCTGCAGAGCCTGGTGGTATCAACACCGGCTGAGCAGCTCGAGCGCGTCAATGCATTCGACGCGTACGAGCAGGGCCTCATCGCACATGTGCGAAAGAACCTGCAGGCTCCGGCGGCGGAAGCAAATCCGCCTCACCCGAAGCCAATACGGCTGAAGGTAAAGCCGTATGAAGGGAAGGAAGGCGAGAACCTTCACTTCTGGGTCCGAGAAGTAGAGCTCGCGATGGACGCGGCTCTGATCTCGACCGAGCAACTGCGTGTTGCTTTTGCACTCTCCAACCTTAGCGGTCGTGCTAAGAGTTGGGTGTACACTCGGGAAGCAACATCCCCTGGATGTTTCACATCCTGGGCTCAGCTGTGCGAACAGCTCCGAGCCGCGTTCCTCCCGGCGAACTACGAGTACCGCCAGCGTTCGCGCTTTCTCGCGTGTAAACAAGGAAGGCGCGAACTGCACGAGTATGTGCAAGAGATACGGGAGCTCACGGCGTCCCTAGTGGGAAACCCACTCAATGAACACATCAAGATGACTGTGTTCATGGACGGCCTTCGAGTGGGCCCCGCACGCACTCAGCTGTTCCGGGTGCAGGCAAGCACCTTTGAAGAGGCGATTCAAGTGGCTCTTCAAGAAGAGTACAGCCATCGCCAGACGCGTACGCCGGTCTCAGCGTGGCCTGGGAGCTCCTTGTCGGCTCCCGGTCGAACAAGCCCCAACGGACCAGTTCCGATGGAACTCGGGTCCGCCGAACAGCGTGACATCCGCTGCTTCGGCTGTGGGAAGATGGGCCATTTCAAGCGCGACTGTCCCGCGGAAAGACTCCGCAGACGGTCCTTCCCCAAGCCCGTCCTCAAGGGTCGCTGGCAGAAGCCAGGATCCCGGGGACAGGGGAACGCAGGGAACCAGTAGGGGCAGAGCGCCCTACTGGGGAAGAACTAAGTCTTCGTGATGGGTGCGCGGGTGGCGCGTACCACGGGGACTTAGCCCCTGAGAGTCTTCGCACTCTCGAATTGGCGAAGAGCAGCGGCGGGTTGCTCGTAGTACACGGATGTGTACGGGGATACGATCATCCCTTTAGAATCTTGATTGACTCTGGGGCGTCGAAGAATTTCGCACGCCGCCAGACGGTTGCTCGTAACAGCAACAAGTTGTCCGAAGCTTTGAGAGAAAGCAAGGGCAACGGGACGGTGTCAGTGCGACTGGCCGACGGGAAGCTCGTCACTGTCCCCAACGTCCAAATGGATCTGGCTGTCAAGTTTGAAGACTTGACAGCCTCGAACAGTTCACTGTTCTCGATATGGATCCATATGATATGATCCTGGGCATGCCCTGGCTTGAGAAGCACGAGTTCTGGATCGACTGGCGAGGCAAGGCAATCGGTGCTAGCCGCCCTGCGCAGTCCGACAGAGCATTGGTGAGTCATGTTCCCACCTCTGTCAGGACCCGGGGCGCCCGCGAGGGCTGCCAGGGTACCGAAGCATCCGGTAGATGCTTGGGAGTCGTCGACGTATATGACGACTCCAAGGATGTTTTGATGGTGGCCGCGCCCAGAAGAGGCGTCGGCCAAGTGGGTAACTTAGGTCCACAGGCGGGTAACTTAGTTCCGCAGACAGCTGCAGCTGTCATTAACACTGAGAACAGCGTGTTCAGAGTGGGTAATAGAGCTCCACTCACGGTCGCCCAAACCTTAACTGAAGAGGAAGGCGTTGAACACGCTTCCTGTGTGGGTAACACAGTGCCACACGCGGTCGCCCAGACCTTAACTGAAGAGGAAGGCGTTGAACACGCTTCCTGTGTGGGTACAACAGTATCACACAAGGCCACGAGTGCCTCGGATGTCGTAGCGACGACATCCCTAGACGTGGGCAGCAAAGCTCCCCGTCACAGACGCCGTCGGCAAAGACACCGCCGCCGCCGCAAGTCGGATCCGAACTTCGTTCCGATCGACGTCGCTTCAAGCGACTCGGAGTCCAGGGCCCGGGCTCCTCCGACAAGGCCAGTGGAAGAGTGTTATCACATCTTCGATGGCGAGACAGGTTTACCCGTCAAGGCATCTGGTGTCCACTTGGAACCGTTGCCAGAGGTTGAGGAGATACTGAACCTCGAGGAAATGACGGCTGAGTCTTTCCTGGCCAACCTCAAGGCTGGAGAGATTGCTGAGATGGTACTCATGAGACCTGAGACCACTCAGGAGGAGCTGAACTCCTCCTCTGTCTTGGACGAGAACGTCCTGGAAGACATGAACAAGCAGCGTCAGGCGCGCTTGGGTTCTGAGATTCTCAAGAACCCCAAGGTTCCGGTGTATCCTTTGGTGACGGAGTATGCGGACGTGGTGAACAAACACCCACCGACCCAACTCCCACCGGATCGAGGCGTACGGCACGAGATTGATCTCGTGCCCGGCACAAAGTATTGTGTCACGAGGCAATAACCTCTCCCGCGCGAACAGTACGAGGTCATTGATGCCTTCTTCGCCGCGAAAGCGAAGGCAGGCATGGTGCGGGAATCGAAATCCCCGCACTCGACGCCGACTTTCTGCGTTCGGAAGCCTAACGGGAAGTGGCGTCTGGTTCACGCTTATAACAAGCTGAACAACGCAACGGGGCCGGCCCAATCACCGATCCCACGAAAGGATGTGTTGTTGAACAACAGGGTCGGGAGCGTACTGTTCAGTGCGCTGAATTTGGTAGACGGATACTACCAAATCCTGATGCGAGAGAGTGACATCCCGCTCACCGCGGTAAGCACTCCAAGCGGCATGCTTTAGGAGTGGCTCGTCATGCCGCAGGGCTTGTCTAACGCCCCGGCGACGTTCAATCGCCTGGTGACGCAATTGTTCCGCCCTTTGCGTACCTTCGTACAGACGTACTTCGACGACATATTCGTCCATAGCCGTGCCGAGTAAGGCAAGACGGCCATGGAGGTGCATCTAGGACACTTCCGTCGAGTGTTGGACGTGATGCGAGCAAACAAGCTCTACGCCAACATCGACAAGTGCGTTTTCGCGTCACCAGAGATTAAAGTTCTCGGTTGCTTCGTCAGCAACGTGGGCGTTCGGGCTGACCCAGACAAGGTCAAGGCCATAGCAGCATGGCCGACGCCTCGATCCCAGAAGGATCTTCGAAAGTGGTTGGGCTTGGCCAACTACCTTCACAAGTACAGCGCTGGGTACGCGGGCTTCGCTAAGCCCTTGTCGAGCGTCCTTCAGAAGGACGTCGACTGGCGCTGGGAACAAGAGCACCAGGATGCTTTTGACAGCATCAAGGCCAGTCTCCAAGAGGCCCCTGTCCTGGCTCTGCCGGACGAGACGAAGCCTTTTAGCGTCGTCTGCGATGCCTCCAATTACGCCATCGGGTGCGCATTGCTGCAGGACGACACGGCT